GCTGATGAAAGCCAAGCCCAGTTAAAAGCATCCATTCCTCCAGAGCAAGGCTGCTCACTGCACCTACCTGTCACTCTAACTGCCCTTTCCCCAGGGTTCCCATGAGGAGGAGGTGGAACTGTTTAAAATCCCCACCACACCTTCCATGCAGACCTGAAGCATTCCTTTCCTCTGACAAGGTGGATTTTTACTACCCATTTAAGGTGAAAGGCAAACACCAAGTGACAGAAGAGTTCGGGCTGGATCCTCCTATAGTCGAGTATTATAATTAGAGTGTATCGCTAAAAACGTAATTCCATTAACATTAGACTACCAGGCTTCAAGGACTGAAACAGTCTGTAATTCCAGAGTACAGTCATGGGGAGATACACACAATTTAATCTGTTCTTTGACTATAAAAGCTGAAAAATGACCTGCCTGTGCTTCTTCAGGACTTGAGAATAATGAGAATTTTAAAGATACTCAATAACTGTCCTGTCCACTTTGGTAGCCAGGAGCCATAAGTGGGTATTTAAGCTAACCAAGATACCATATAAAATTCAGTTCCTTAGTTACACATGTCACATTTCAAGCTACATGGGACTAATGGTTACCACACTGGACAGTACAGATACAAGATATGTTCATTATTGAAGAAAGTTTCCATGAACAGCACTGCACTCTTCGATGACTACATCTTTTATCCTAACTTTATCATTGGGGTTATGAAGGAAAACGTTTTTGCTCTGTTGGCAAGCTTCTCTGGTGAACTCCTTGCTGTGGTTTACATGTTTTCCAATTACCCCTATACTCACATGTCTCAAGCCCATCAAAATGACACTAGAGGTAATAAAGTGTATTCACTCAAGGCCACCCAGTGGAAACTTGAGATTCTTCAGCATGCCAAATAAGTTGTCTATCTGCCTATCTTTGTGATATCTGAAGTGGGACACGCCAGGAAAGTGTCTATGCGGAGGCCCAGTTAGGCATTCTCTAGAAATGATGACTTTGTTTCCTGGATTTGTTTTTTTCTTCACCTCGGTCCAGAGGCGTCTACAGGGTATTATGGGTGGAGTGGGTTCTGGAATGAACCTAAGGATACTTTGAGAGATATTGAAAGTTCTGGGGCTTTTAAGAGTTTGTCCATAGATCTTCTCAAGTGCAATGAAAGAACTAGTATTTTAAGAACATCATGAAATGCTGATGAAAAATGCTAGCCCCAGTATGGAATCAGAAATAAGGGAGTCCAGGGGGAAACTTCATGAATGTGGGGACTGTGACAGGATTCCTTGGGTTCTGCTAACTGCAGAGACATAGTGGGTAAAGAAGGGATTTGTGGTGGATTAACTGATGGTCAATGTGGAACACCCAGCTGAGCTGAGTCAGCCTGATTCTGGGCATGGAAGACCCACCTGAGAATGGTTGCCAAAAGCATAAAAAGAGAAGTGGAGGGGAAGATTGTATGCTGTTGATTTTCTTGCAGATGCTTGGCATGAGTTCCTGATATTAGTTCCTCAAAGGTGCTCCGGTCCTTGCTATTGCCAGGGATGGCTGCTGTTCTCGTCAGGGGAGCTCTTGTCTTCACCTTGAGCATTGCTTCCTGGTTCCAGTGTAGACTTTTCAGGCTGGTGGCACAGGTCCTTCACCCTACCAGTACAAACTTTCTAGCTCCCACCACTGGACTTTGGGCCTTCCAGGTGCAGATCCTCCAAATGGACTTGTATGAGACATTGCCGTGGGCTCTAGGCCTTTGGCTGGACTCATGGAGGACACTGCCGTGGGATCAGGCCCTCAGTGTATGGACAGGTCTCTAGTGTATGGACGGATCTCTTGCACTCCTCTGCATTTGACTTTTTGGGTGAATATTATAAAATAATCCTGTAAATTATGTGTTCTCTATTAAATCTACTCCCCTGACTACAGCAGGATTCTCTATCTTCATGTTACAAACTCCTGGACTTACAATAATTTTATTCCATTATTCCTCTACTTAAAATTTGCCAGTGACTCAAGATTAAACTTTATCAGTATGGCCAGGCATGTAAGATCCATATTCCTCTTATCAGAAGCCATACCCACCCCTAGCATTCCCACATCCTCACTACATCTCCCAAGTGGCCTATAACACCAAGGAGATACATCCCCAAGGTGGCCTGCCCTGCCCCAAGAAGATGTTTGCCCTTGATACCAGCTGTGAGGTCTAAGTGATAGGGGAAGATTCTGAGAATATCCAGTGCCCAAGAAGAGTGATCCAAAGTAGCTTGCATACTCAGTGCCCACTAGGCCATGGCCTGTGCAGCTAGAAGTCTGCCCTTGTGTGGCTGGGGTCATATATCCCTAAGCATGCACTTCCCTGCTTCCCTTCCCCTATTTTTCCTTGAAACAAGTAAAAAATGACCCTGGAGCCAAGAAGTGACAGTGATACTGCCCTGAAATTATATCCAGTCTTTTCAGACCCAGGTCAACTGTTTTCTCCTTTAGAAAATCATCCTCAGTACTCACTTTCAACCCAGTCCACACTGCTCTGCCTTTTTTTCTTTGATGTTGGTTTTTAACCAAGGTATCTTTTTGATTTACCTGTATTTATCTCATTTTGAAGATAAGTTTCAAAAAGTAAAAGAATTTTGATTTTCTCATAGCTCTATTCTAACATTTCGTTCAATTTTGCTACTCTGGATTTTATGTCAGTAGATGGGAGGTTTCAAATCCAGTAAATGATTTTTCTCTGCTGTGGAATATCAAGACAATGCCTTGACCTCCTGGTCAAATTCTTTATTTGTAACCTACTTAGGTTAAGCTAGATGAGTGTTTCTCAACCTGGCTTCTACATCGGAACCATCAGAGGATCTTTTAAGACAATTATGATGCTGCGGCCTTTCCCAGGGCAATGAGTCAGAGCTTCTAGAGGTTTGGCTTAGACATTGGGATTGTTTCAAAACTTCTCAGATGATTTTAATGGGCAGTGAGGGTTGAAAAATAAGTACAATTCAGGAAAGAACACACTCAACATGGAGTGGAAAATTCATTGTGAAAAAAGCATAGCAGTTAGAGAAGGGCAGAGACAGACTGCCTGCCTACAGGTGAGGCTTTTCAGCTTTGCCTTGAGCTGGCTGCTAGCACAATACAAACTGCCTTGTACTCTAACCTTCTTAGAAATGTGTGTGAGTATAGTCATGTCCAACCTAAAGAATTTTCTTCAGTGATTCAAATTCTCATAACATTCTGGGGATGAGACAGGAATCATAAACATTACTGGTCCCAGGCACTTAATTATCACTGTATAAATTCTTCCTGGAAGGTAATTTTTGGACTAATTCTTAAGTATGAGTTTTACAAGTTCCTATTTTTTAAAGAGTGGAAATCCTTCACCAATTGCCCAGGAGACAAGAGGTTTAAAAGAAGACCTGTTTGAAAGATCTGAGCACCAGGTACCTTAAAAAAGCTGAATTTCTAAAGTATTTTGACCCATAAAGCAGTGTGAAAGGTGAGTTAAGGTGACCAAGGTGAGAAAGCATATCTCCCTTTTAATAATGCAGCAAAGAAGTGAAGAAAACAAATAGTTCTTTAAGTCTGGGGTAAGAGTTACGGATCAGTTTTCCCTTGAAAATATCACAACACTACGTAGGCAATACAAACAAGTCAAATTTTAAGTCATTGTAACCCTGCAATTTAATTTCTTTTCTTACTCTGTGGTATTTTTATTCCATGAAACAAGTACATATTGAACACTATCTATATCCTAGATCTGAAATGAGGATCAAAAACATTCTGAAAATTTTAAAATTTGAGGATTTTCTTGATACAATGATATCCGCCTTAATAGAAATCACTATGGAAAAAATTACTGGTTTTGAAAAAATATATAAAAGGTTTTATTCCAAAAGACTTGTCACACCCCTTCAAAGAAGTTACACTGACATCTATGAAATTTGAGAAAAAAATTTCTAATTATAATGTAAATTCATTAATTCAGTCATTACTTAATAAAGCTCATCTTCTCCACTGAGAAAAAATCACAATGATTCTCAAGCCTAACAAAATCTATAGAAAAATCACCCTGATGAATAAGGGTAGAAAAGAAAAGAAACAGTCCATATCATAGTGTGGGTGCTAATGATTCAATGCATCCCTTAACCATACTTTAATAAACTTACATCAGATATGATGAAGTTCTCTTTTGATAGTATGGAAAAAATAACATTTATATAGAATAAGCTGTAAGAAAGCAAGAGTAAAACTTATTTTGTTCTGCAGGCACAATGAATACAGTTTCTGCCAATCAAAGTCATTCTTTGTATCATGTCCTTTGAAAATGTCAGTCAAAAAAAAAACAAAACTGAAAATGTCAATCATCAAGGTAGGCTCTATTCCTCAAGGTATTCTTTAATGCAAAAGTAATCGGACTGAATATTAGATGCCTATGTTACTTGTGCTACAAAAACAATGTTGTTGTTCTCTGCATCTCTATTCAGACAGTCTCAAAGTTGTGGGAAAGGAATCCAAAGATAATTCATGATCTCTGTATCTACGTGGTGAAGCAGTGCTCTTCCTATGTACAGATGCCCACACTCCTGACTATGTTGGGTACTTTGACCTTGAGGAAGGGCAAAACCATGAGATCTAGCAACCAGCATAGCTTTTATAAATGGCAACATTTGTCTACTGACAATGGCCATGAAGGCAGACCGCATGGTTTTAAAAAAAGAGAGAAGCTATCCCCACAAGAAAAGAGGAAGATAAAAATGACTCATTACATAATTTGAACTCCAGTAAGACTGGTGTTCAAAACTCTCAAAGAAGCAGGACTTGAATGTGGAAATCGTCTCGTCTTAATATGGTTTCCAATTTTCAAGGCATCTGATATCAGCCCTTCCATCGTCTCTTCTACAATTTACTACAAAAATATGAAAAAACAGTGGAACTGTTAATTTTTGTCCTAGATTTACTTATAAATTAAGCAACAAGGGAATAAATGATCACAAATAGTAAAGTGATTAAAAAAATAATTCAAGATACATTACACAGGTTCAGTGAATGAATGGTCCTATTACAGCTTAAGAAGATGGTTTCATCTTTCCGGGCCTCCACTTCCATATCTGTAAAATGGCATAATTATATCCGTCTCAGAAGGTTGTTTCCAAGATTAAATACGATATACAAATGAAACTGTTTTGCAAATAATAAAGCACTCTATCCATGTAATAGATTCGTAAAAGATTATTATAACTAGATATAGTCAATGTTTTCTTCGAAGTTGTCAGAATACACATTCTCCTCCCACCTGATGCTCTTACACAGTCTCAATGATAGTAAAATTACTCAAATCACTTCTCTTTTCCGTTTTTTTGGCATTAGTTTTTATCTGCCCGAATACGTAGGCAAATAACTATTTTCGTGATCTTTTGCTTTAATATTCATTTTAGAGCTACTTTAACAATGAAAGATGTTTTATATGTTTCCAGGATGTATGTACTAAAGAAGGCCTAGAGCACAAAGATTCACTAAAACGAAAGATCTTCTACTGTATCCTGGTCACCTCTGATACAGTGCACACAACTTCAGGAAATAGGTTTAGACAGCTACTTTCAACCCATGAAATCATCATCTGCCCACTGTGATCCCTTCTTCTCTTATAACTTCAAGATGCTTCCATTCAGAAAACATAAAAGCCAACCACAGCCCCATGGTTACACTGGGTAACATGGAAAGAGAATTTAAGAAAGGTGACCCTGGATCAATTAAACTTTCCCAAGCTTTTCAGGTCTCTTTAAGATAAAGACTCAAAGATAAATTCTATTAAAGTACTGATCATAATCAAACAGTACATTGTATCAGAGGTCCAGTATTGTTTTTCATTTCCTTTCCCAGAACTTCTTAAAGATGAAAAAGATACAGAGAAGAACAAAATTGTTTCAATTGCCATGACTGCACAACATGACTTACATAGACATCTATCTAGAAAGTTTTGCTTTGTTTTTTCCTCATTAAGTTTATTGGTACATTTTAGGTATGAAATACAGTTACATACATCATTGGGATCTTGTACCATTTCTTATATTTTTTCCCTTCCCCTGCCCTCCCTTCACCCACTCCACCCTTCCCTATTTGCAACGGCTTTGTTTCCATTTTTTTCCTTTTCTCATGGTTTTTCTTTTCCCTTCTTTCCTTTCTCCTACCCTTCCCACTTCCCCTGCTCCTTTAGAACCTTACTTCCTATTACACAATATCAATTATACATTTTTAAATTACAATATCAAGATCTAGGAGACATTTCCACAGATTTTACAGAATTTAAAAGGATATAGAAAGCATATTACAAAAATCTGTTTTGAAATAAATTTGACAACTTCTAAAAATATCTTGTAAGACAAATTAATAAAACTAACTCTGGAGGAAATATAAAATTTGAATAGCACCTATTAAAGAAAGTATATTCCTAGCTTGAAAACCTACCTATATGACAACAACAGGCTCATCTACATTTTAACTGATAAATTATATCAAAAATTTAAAGCAGGAAAAAAAAGGAACACTTCTCCCCTCATTTTAGGAAATCAACATTGTGCTAATCCTAAAACCAGATAAAGGCAATAGAAGAAAAAAGTATGAACATAGATAGAAATTTGTTTAACAAAACAAACTATTAGAAGTCAGATCTGGCAGCATGTAGAAAGTGGTTTTATTATAGGGATGGCAGTGTTGGTTCAGCATTGGAAGATCCATCCCCAAAAGTCATCATTTTAACAGAGGAAAGGAAAAAGCCATATGATCCTGTCAGTAGTTGGAGAAAAAGTATCGAACTAAATTCCACAGCTGTTCATGGTAAAAGCTATCAGGAGACTAGAAGTAGAACAGAACCTTCTCAACAGATTAAAGACATGTACTCCATACTTTCAGCAAAACTGCCTTATATGAATGGAGATGATTACAATGCTTAAAAAGTTGTTTTTATATAAAAGATATTACACCTTAGAAGTGGCAAAGCCAATAAGCTTGGATAATAAAGGGTTAAAGTTAATCTTAGGGACCACAGTTATTCAGGAAGTTAACGCTGAACTGGACTCCTTCCTGATACTCCAAAGACGCTCCAGTCATTTCATTAATAAACTGGTAACAGGCAACACTCAGTTTGTGGAAATGCTTTGTAAAGTGCTTAATAAATGACTGGCACAAATGTCCTCAGGAACAACATCATTGAAACTGGAAGATAAATGTTTTCGGCAGTTTTAAAAAGCACTCAATACCATGTCAAATTAGAAGTATTTTGTTTCAACCATTTCCAAGAAGTGCCACAGACTGTTAAGATCGAAGAATATTAAAATTTGTATTTCTTCTCTTCCCCCTTTGGAAGACACCTGGGGCACTGCTAGTGCACACTGGAATAATGTTAGAAGTCAGTGGCAGCTCCAGCATTCCCATGGAGTAGGCGCTTCCCAGGGGAATGATCCAGCTGCAAGAGAGGTGGGGACCTGTGTGCAGGCTGGGCTGGCAGGAGCACACCATCCTGATGCCTCAACTGGGGTGGCTTTGTGGGGAAACCCGTGAAGACCATGGTGGAGAAGGCTGAAGGCCTTCAAGGCCTTTCTTGGAGACTTGCTCCTATTAAATGTCCTTCTAGAGAAGGCTCCATATTTACTCCCTTAGCATGTGTCACTTTAATAGCACTTTCCAAAAAGCAGAGCCATGGCCACCTTTGCAGTATGGGACACTGAACTCCCCTCCATCAGGCCCACTCCGCAGCCTCCAGACAGCTGCAGCCAGGCTTCTGCAGCAATGCCAGTGAGGATCCCAATGATGGTAGAGAACCTGAGGCTCGTCAGAGGCAGTGGCAAATAACTGTGCTGAGTCAGATGGTATGATTTATTTTATGACGATTTTACGACGTTTTCTGGCCTCTGTTGCTCAGATAACTTGGGCCCTTTGCAAAAGATTCACACATAAGAGAAGAAATGAATCAAAAGCAACCTGTGGTGTGTGGAAAAACAACACCTCTTAACACCCACATACTGAGGCGCTCCCAAAGGCACGGAAACTAAAGACTGCAGATAGCAAACCTGCACTGTAAAGAGCAATTTACACAAAGATGTCCCCAAAACCTATGGTTCTGCCACTATTGCATGAAGCTATAAGCAACAAAGCAACTGACACTCGCCCTTAGCAGGGATAAGGTAAGAAGTCTACAAAACGACAAAAATAAAACAATATCTATGAAAAACTCTATCCCCAGACATAGATCTGCAAGCAGTTTTCCTTGCCTTTAAAAGCAACAAATTCCAAACAACAACAAACACAGCACATAAACAAATACATTTACTGGGGATGTGTGCTAAATACCAGGACAGAATGAGACAAAAGTTTCTCCCTCAAAGAGTTGTCATTCTAAGAAACAAGGCAAAATGCATATATATAACCACCAATAGGTAGGTTGGTGAGCAAGGCCACAGAAGCATATGAGTGAGCCTGTTAGGGAGGCTATGGGCAGGGGAAAGAAAGGGAATCAAAGTGAGATGATAAAGGCTAACAAAGGCAGATCAGTAGAAGTAACATTCAGGCTAGGCATTATTTCAAAGGATGGAGCTATTACATAGGGCAGGTCTAGAATGAGAAAATTCGGGGGAGTGGATGAAGAACAGTCACAAGCTAGGAAATTGGAAAGGAAAATGGATGTGTGAGAAAGCTTTGCTTAAGTGGAACAAGGGCATGAAGCCTGCAAATAGGGCAGAATGGGAAACAGGAAGAGACTTGACCTCATCTATGCAAATAACCAAGCTAGTCCTGTGTCCAATGTGCAAGGCACTGTACTATCTTAAGAGCCAGGGACACTGAGGCAGCCTCTGTCCTCAGTGAGGAAGAGGCCCATGTGATCACCTAGGATTCGTGGAGAGGCTCCAAGAAAGTCATGCTAGCAGGGCCACCTGTTCAAAATGATGTCTGGGCTTGGGAGGAGATTTAACGGCTGGCAACGCATACACACTGGTGAGAGATGTCCATGGCCAGAAACTAATCAAGAAATCCTTAGAGGTGACAGAAAATAAGATTTCAGGCTGACACTGCAGAAACATAATTCAAGAGCAAAACTGAAAACAAATGGTTATGCATTTCATGTAACTAGGTTTCTATCATAAATAAAATCTGATTCTTAGAATTAAGATGTAAAAGTTATTCTGGTGAATAAGTTGGGACTTTATACAAGAGGAAGCAACAGATATGGATTGCAATGGAAAATTTTCTGGTTGTTCTTTCTCACCTTTTTTCCTTACAAAGTACAGTTCAGTTATCAAAGTTTTTTAAAAAATTCAGAAACTAAATTACCCAGAAAAATCAGAAACAAGTTGTCAGAGTAGTGGCCACCATGTTACTTAAGGACATTAGTAATTGATAAGGACACATATTTCCAGAACATAAAACTAATCAAGGCACAAACCAGGGTAAGGTGGCACACCTCTGTAAGGCAGAAGTTTGAGACCAGCCTGTGCTACAGAGCACGTTCAAGGCCAGCCTGGAATGTATACAGAGAACCTATCTAAAAAATACAAACAAAACAAAAAGCAGTCAAGGCACAAAAACTGCTCTCTGTTGAGTAAAATAAGAAGCCAACCGATGGAAATGCCTATACTGCCCCTCTCAGAGAAATTGTAAATAAATGTTGAGAAACAAAAAAAATTTAGTGAGTCTTTCCTGAATTTCAGTCAAATAAGTTTCTCAAGACAAAAGAGAACTTACAAAAATGTGGAAGAGTAGAACCACTTCCTGGAAAACCTGTCATTAATTCCTTTACCGGGCACATAGTTCATATAGAGCAGAATGCTCTGTCACAGTACAATAGCTCCAGAATGAATTAAGGCCTACATGTGTCAAGGCAGTCTGTGATTAAAAACCTAATGAGGTAAACATGATTAATACTTAAGTTCAGCAGAGAAACAGATCCTTGGGGTCTACCAGTCATGTTCAAGGGGCAAATATGAAGTGGGTGAAAGAGCCATGAAGGAAGATTTGGAAAATAAACTGATTTAAACCAACTCAGTTAACTGACAAGCTACCAGTCCACCCTGTCTTCTGCTACCCTTAATGCCTTGGGCACAACAGTTATAAGAGG